TGAAGAAGTCTGTGGAAGGAGTGGAGGAGGCAGCCACACCCCCCGCCCCACCCACCAACACCGGCTGCCTCGGAAGACAGTGAAGATCACCGAGGGATAGCTGACCTGTATTAGATGACAGGGGAGAGGTACAGACAGCCTCCCCCACCCCGCTGTTCCCCCCCCCTTCCTCGCTGACCTGATGATCAACTGGGCAGTATGTTTACTATGTTTACAAAGCTTCATGGGAGAAAGTGCATCTGTCTAAAGTATCGTTCAGCAGAAAAGTACAGTGTCTAGGGCGGACAAAGGCAGCAGTTAGCTTTGGGGGGGGGGGGGGGGGGGGGCACAATTGAAATTCGGGTTAGCCCACCCCAGCACCCCCCTAGATCTGGCCCTGTTAAAGCTTGTAGGAGGAGTTTTCATTTTGCTCTAGGACAGGGGTCTCCAAACTATGGCCCTCCAGCTGTTGGAGTACTACAAGTCCCATCATGCCTCTGGGAGTTTTGCCTGTGGCTGTCAGAGTCTTGTAAGACCTCATGGGACTTACAGTTCCCCAACACCTGGAGGGCCATGCTTGGAGACAACTGCTCTAGGAGGATGCAGAACCCCTGACCTCTCTCTTGACAGTGCTGATTGGCCCTGTGCTGATCATATGCACTCTCCCAAGAAAAAAAAAAAAACTCCTTTAGCAATACACACCAAACTGAGCATGTGCAGAGTGACCACACATATGTCTTATCAGGAGGTAAGAGGAGGGTACAGGAAGAAGGGGAGGATCAGAAAGTCAGGATCAGTGGTTTTTACACAATGCAGAGGATTAACCCCTCAGGTTCCACAGTGAGTATAACAAGCATGCTTTACTGCATATACAGACTGATTTCACTGTTGTGGGTTTAGTAACACTTTAAACTGAGTAAGGGGTTCTTTACTGTCAGAGTGGGTAAGGATGGCGAACTACAGCAATTGGTGGTATTAGCGGGAAGTGTCAATTATTTAAAAAAACTCTTATATGGTCATCTCAATGAACACAATATCCAGGGATATGGGAGATGATTTTGACATAAACACACCCACACAGGTTAAAATGGATGGACTGGTGTCTTTATTCAACCTTTCCAACTATGTAGCTATGTAACTATGTAAATACATAGGTAGCACAGTAGCTAAATGGTTAGCACTTTCTGCCTGGCAGTACTAGGGCCGTTGGTTCGAATCCCAGCCACGGCACCTCCTGCCTGGAGTTTGCATGTTCTCCCTGTGCCTGCGTGGGTTTCTTCTGGGTGTTCTACTTTCCTCCCACACTCCAAAGACATGCTGGTAGGTGAATTGGCTCCTGTCTAAATTGTCCCTAGTATGTGTATGTATGAATGTAAGCTAGGGACCTTAGATTGTACACCCCTTGAGGGTTAGGGGACTGATGTGAATGTACAATATATATGTAAAGCGCTGTGTAAATTGATGGCTATATAAGTACTTGAAATAAATAATACATGTAAGAAAGGTCAAATAACTGTAATAAAGATGTATACCATCCAGCTCACTGAAACAGGTAAATCTTGTAGTTCCTAAAATATTTTTGGTATTTGATAGACTATTTCCACAATCCTAATCCATAACATAATGTCTGACTGTGGGCTTTAAAAATATCAAGTTAAGAGTTCTCCCTCTGGGTCTGACCAGATGGCTGCTTCTTTGTCCTCCCTGGCTCTCTGCTGAGGTCAGAGATGGGTTGTGTGAGAGGCAATGAGGGGCTGCTTAGACAGAAGATAAAGTTAAGGTCAACAAGTGAACTCTTCCTCTGTGATAGAGAGTAATCTGAGTGATGATACAAGTGTAACAAGTCCATTAAAGTCCTGGGATCAAGTTAAAATGCTGCTCTCCTTATTTAAAAGACATTACATTTTGTAAACGTTATGCATTCTGTATATACAGTACAAAATATAAGCAGATTGCAGCATTTTTCCTAGACGATATAGAAACTAAACATTTTCATTCATTTTTACACTTTATAGACATGTAGACATTAAAGCAGTACTAAACTTAAAAAACCAAAGATTTAATACAAGATGAGACAATTTAGTTCCCAGAATGCACCGGTAATAACACTAGCAAACACCTCTGCATTCTTCAAAAGGTTGGATGAAATGTGAAGATGACATTCTCTCTGCTCTTCTCTCAAGCATTGAGGCACCATCTTTGCAGAAATCTATCCTTGTTCATGTTCATCATGTTCAATTCTTCAGCCGTCATTCGTACACTCGATCTGAGTGGACAAGGCTTTGCACTCTGTCAATATTTACATCCATCCTTTGCATTTTTTTGGCTGCCTCTTGTCTCACCATGGACATCTTTGGCTGCCTCTTGTCTCACCATGGACATCTTTGGCTGCCTCTTGTCTCACCATGGACATCTTTGGCTGCCTCTTGTCTCACCATGGACATCTTTGGCTGCCTCTTGTCTCACCATGGACATCTTTGGCTGCCTCTTGTCTCACCATGGACATCTTTGGCTGCCTCTTGTGTCACTTGGACATCTTTGGCCGCCTCTTGTCTCACCATGGACATCTTTGGCTGCCTCTTGTCTCACCATGGACATCTTTGGCTGCCACTTGTCTCACCATGGACATCTTTGGCTGCCTCTTGTCTCACCATGGACATCTTTGGCTGCCTCTTGTGTCATCTTGGACATCTTTGGCTGCCTCTTGTCTCACCATGGACATCTTTGGCTGCCTCTTGTCTCACCATGGACATCTTTGGCTGCCTCTTGTCTCGCCATGGACATCTTTGGCTGCCTCTTGTCTCACCATGGACATCTTTGGCTGCCTCTTGTGTCATCTTGGACATCTTTGGCTGCCTCTTGTCTCACCATGGACATCTTTGGCTGCCTCTTGTCTCACCATGGACATCTTTGGCTGCCTCTTGTCTCACCATGGACATCTTTGGCTGCCCCTTGTCTCACCATGGACATCTTTGGCTGCCTCTTGTGTCATCTTGGACATCTTCCCATTGCTGCTTAAACTGCCAATGCCATTTAAAAACACTTGATTTCTTCATGGAATGTTCACCATAAGCCTGTTGTAACAGAGCTAAAGTTTCACTTGCACATTTGCCAATGTTCACACAAATTTGATGTTAATCCGCTGCTCCAAATTCCTGTCACTCATTTTCCGCCATCAGTGAAATGCACGTGTTATTTCTTCTACTACTCCATAAGACTCAACTGATCTGCGACCCAGGAGAGTGCAAGTTAGAACACACTGTGTGAATGGCTGTGTAACTCACCACCATAGTGCTACACTGCAGGCATTCCGGCAATGAAATTGTCACACCTTGTATATTGCAGCTTACCAATCATTAGATAGGGTGGCTGCATTCATTTTATTTTATTTAGGCTTTTTTTCCCACTGTTTTCACCTAGTGATCTGATCAGTAACACACCTCCTGTATTAGAGTCCCTCCACTCTGGATGGAGGAGCAAAAGAGACAGCATTGGATAGCAGCATTGTAAGTCTGGGGGAGGGAAGTGTTAGATGGACTAGCAGATTTAGATATAAGAACCAAATTGACTCCAGCTAACATGTTATAAGCAGTTACAGTAAACAGTTTTGTTCTTTTTGAGGTCAAAGTGGACCTGTAGTGCATCTTAGTACCACAAACCAAAAATGCTGTTTGATTTATTTTTAATATTCAAAGTAAACTCCCCCATCCCTCCATGTCTCCATGCTTTATTTTGCTGAGAAATCATTTTGAAAAACACCCCCTGGCTCTTTTGGCAGTGGCCATCTTGAGTAAGGGCAGATGATTCATGTATCATTTACTTCCTGAAATCCATCTGCCCTTAGTTCTGGGATAGGCTGAGCTGAGAACCCTCACTCCTTTCCTGAAGACTCATGGGATGTATGACATCATTTGTCTAGGCATGGAAACTAGGAAGTAACTGAAGAAATGTAAAAAAACATTTAAAACAAGTAAAAATAATATACCTTCCTAACTATTTATTAATACTAGCAGCATAAGGATTAAGCATAGTCCATGTTGATTATTAAGGTGAAGTTCCACTTTAAGGCTTTACATCAATAAATAAAAGTTCATCACTGTAATCACCTGTCAGAGTTAAAGGATAATACAGCTAAAGCTCGTTTGGCTGTACCTCTCCTGTGGATTGCAGGAGTGCAGTTCGTTCTGCACTCCTGTGACCCGTTTTCAGACTAAAGTCTGCTGTTGGTTGACATCATCCATATGGTCAGGATTCACCCAGGAGCCTGGACTGGCACTTGGCTCAGTCTTTCAGTAAGCTGCGGGGAGCCTGAGCCAGCCACACCTGCCCCCTGGTGGAGGGGCAGAATAGACAGCGATGACTGACAGTCCTTGCTCTCTGCTCAGGCAAGGAGAACTGAAAGATCAGCTGTGTCTGAGCGCTCAGTTCTCACCCTTAGCTGGCAGGGGACAGATGCTGCATCCACCAAGGTAAGTTTAAATAAAAAATAATTTTCTCTTTTAAATGGTATGTCTTAACCCTCCAACTGCTACATCTGCAGGACAGCTTGTTCTGCTGAAACAGACTTACTGGCAGGATCCTCAGGTGAAAATAAAAGAAACAAAGCCTAAAAAAAAGAAAACTAATGCAGCCACCACAGCTAAGAATTGGGGACCTGCAATATAATAAATGTTTGCGTTTGAATTTAATACCACTTTAACAAATCTATGGAAACTTCCTGTATGACATATAAGGAGATACATGACTGTTCATATTTTCCACTGTGACTTTGTAGGTTTGAATTACCCTCTGTGTGCCTGTCATCACAGTACAATACCTGTTAGGGCACCTGGACACAGCTTGTCTAAGTACATTGTGTGGGAAGTGCCTGTGATCAAAGACTTCAAATCTAATTATATCAGTATGCAAAACAAGACAGTTCAGATATACACTTTGCTCCAAATTTAACTCCATTTTCATTTTTGTTCAGTTTTCAGGACTTCATATTCAATGGCAGGGAAACAAATGAGCAGGAAGTTGAAATGAATTCAGAAATTGTACTTGAAGAATATCTCTATAAAAGGTCACAGCAGAAGAAGTGGACATCACCTGTGAACTACAAGGAAAGATTATTTGTGCTCACCAACTCCAGATTAACCTATTATGAAGGTCGTTCTGAGGTAAGGTTAAAATGTAGATTTTTCTTTTTAAAGGAGAGATAGAATTCAGATTATTTAATCCAGGTACTTAAAGTGATACTAAAGCTTCATTAAAAAAAAACATGTCTATACTTACCTGCTCTGTGCAGTGGTTTGGCACAGAGCTGTCCGATTCTCTTCTTTTGGGGTTCCTGCCTGGCTCCTCCCCCTTGAGCAGTGTCCCCAGCCCAGGGAAAGCCACTCGCCCTGGGGGCATAACTACGTGCTCATCCCTGAGCCACTGCTCTATGCTTAAGACAGATGGAACCGCGATTCGACCCCCCCCCCCCCCCGTGTTCTCTCCTCATTGGTCCACTGGCTGTGATTGACAATGGGCTCCCATTGCTGTCTCAGCTCAGCCAGTGAGAAGGAAGAGTCCCCAGACAGCAGAGCCTGTCGAGAACGTTGCTGGATTGGAGGGGGCACAGGGGTAAGGATTGAAGGAGGCTGCAGACAGAAGGTGTATGTAGGTAAAAAAACCTTGAGCCTTTAGAAGCACTTTAAAGTTCAGAGAGTTCTTTTTAAAAAAAGAGTACAGATTGTCCCATTATTGTCACTTGTAACCTCCTCTTTGCCAATGCGCGTGTGTTTCCAGCATCTAAGCAATGCCAAAATTAGGAATTCACTATCCTTGGGTGATATTATTACTTCTTACGTCGGTTCCTGGTCACCCTCTAATGTTTACCTTTATAGGTGAAAATGCCTGATAGTGTACTGGAAAAAAACATCACATTCTTGGGAAACAAACAGCTTCCACCATTAGACATGGTTGCAGTGTCAAAGGGGTGGGAAACATCAATGGAAATCAGTATGGATGGAGCATGCGTGCCTTAGAACAGGGTCTCCAAGCTATGGCCCATGGGCCACATCCAGTCTGCTAAGAGATTTTATCTGGCCCTCATCTAGGATCATCATTCAGATCAGTTGGTCTTTGCCTTTACCCCCCTAAACCCCACTGATTACTCTGATGTAAGAATGGCTTTGATGGGGGCCCTAATGAAAGCGGGACACTCTGTTGGAGACTTGATTTAAGGAGGGATGCTGATAGGGACCCAGATGAAAGGGGGGGGGGTCTGATGGGACCCTAATGTAAGGAGGGGGCCCTGATGTAAAGGGAGAAGTCTGTAGGGGACCTTGATGTAAGCGGAGGATTCTGATGGGGATCCTGATGTAAGGGGGGACTCTGATGGTTACTCTGATGTAAAAGGGTACTGTGATGTTTAAGGGGGGACTCTGATGTGTAAGGGGGCTTCTGATGTGAAGCAAAGGGGCTTTGAGCTAAAGTAATTTTTTGGAGTGTGTTTATTCATTCAGTTATAAGACCCTTGCCCTAGGAGAAATCACTAATTACTAATTTTGGAGAACTTTACCTTAGTTGTGTGCGTGTTTTAATTTTTTGTCGAACCCTTCTTTTTTCCTTGTTTGATGTTATTCGATTTCTAAAAGGCCAAAATATTTTTGTTTTTTTAGGTCATAGCCGCATATTTTATAATCAGTACTGTGCCATAAAAGACTAAAGAAAGCCAGCTTGCTTCTCTTTATACTATATCTGGCATGGCTGGACATGAAGACGTATATCTTTACAAGAAGGATCAGTATATTCTGCTTATATATGCCTGTTCTGTGCCCTAGATCAGTGGTTTCCAAACTGCATCCCGGGACAGATGTGGCCCTTTGCATTCCTTTATCTGGCCCTTGAGGCACTATTATTCCCACTGATATGAGGCACTATTTCTCCTACTGACACCTTTGATGAGTCATCATTCCTTCCATTAAAACTAACTCTGACAGCAATGACGGGGCACTATTCCTCCTGCTAATACCAATGATGGGGCATTATTCCTCCTGCTAATACCAATAATGGGGCACTATTCCTCCACACTAATACCAATGATGGGGCACCATTCCTCCTGCTAATACCAATGATGGGGGGTGGGGGGGGTACTATTCCTCCTGCTAATACCAATGATGGGGCATTATTCCTCCTGCTAATACTCAATGAATGGGGCATTATTCCTCCTGCTAATACCAATGAATGGGCATTATTCTCCTGCTAATACCAATGATGATTTATTCCTCTCTGCTAATACCAGCCCAATGTTTAGAAGGGCACTATTCTGCCCTGCTAATACCAATGATGGGCACTATTTTTATTGTCCTCCCACTAATACCAATTTTAAAAATTATTGGGCATAGTATAAAAAAAACATTCCTCCTGCTAATTGGCAAAAATGGGCACTGGTCCTCCCTTACTACATAAACCAATGACGGCACTAATGAACTGATACCATAAATACAAGGAATATTCTTCCCAGATGATACCAATGACGGGCCACCATGACCTTCCTGCTAATAACCAATAAAAAGGGCACTATCAGCGTTGAAAAACACTAATGTCCTACATGACGTCGCAGAATACTTTTCCTCCCACTGAATACCAATGATGGGGCACTATTCCTCCCACTGCGCACTCACCAATACGGGGACGCATTCCTCCCAAGATACCAATGACGGAACTATTCCTCCCTACTGATGCCAAGTGACGGGGCACTATTCCATCCACAGATAATCCAATGACGGTCCCTCTAATTGGTCCTCCCACTGATACCAATGACGTTTCAGACTATTCCTCCCACTGATTAAACAATGACGGGCACTAATCCTCCTCACCACTGACTCCCAACCCCAATAGGATATCCTGATTAGCTCCACTAAAGGAGCCAAAAAAATTTCTGTAGTCTCACTAACAGTCCGGATCCCCTAAATTCTGAAGGCCTGTAAACCAGCAGCATATGTTTTAAAAGTTTGGAGACACCTGCCCTAAAATGAATATCATGACGTACAATTTATGTTTACTATTATAAATGATTATTTTAAAAATATGTGGCTAGGGCGGCTAAAAAGTCAAAAAAAACTCTGTTGAGGATAATTGGCACAAACCTTGTACTGTGAGGTTACAGATCTTCTGAAGATTTATCAAAATCATAGACCTTTACTGGATATCAGAGAGTCAGTTTAGAAGCCAGACTTTAAAAGGACTATTTTCTGAGGTTTCTGTGTCCACCTTATGGCTTTGGCCAAATACTGAATTAAAGAGAGACCATCTCACTTTTTATCAGTTTTCCATTTGAGGTTATGCACCTTACTGACTTATCAAAGGTTACCACTGTAACTGGATATAAGAAGTCAGTTTCAGAAGCCAGAGGCCAAAGGACTATCATAGCATCTGTGTCAGCAATGGCAGGCCAAGACTCAATTTAAAGGAGAGGACCAATCAAGGGGGCCCCTTTACAGTCATTGGGTTATGCTTTAGTTTGACTTCCAAGGTTACCACTTTAAGCAAAAGTGCAGATATAGTTAGGTAGAGGCCCCAGGGCTAATGTAACCATTGTCTTGTCAATGGTTTATCTGAAGATGAGACTAGAATAAAAAGTGGCACCAGGGATCTCTCTCGTTTTGCATTTTGGTGTTCTTGTGTGGAATCATTTGGAGTAGAAGAAATGGGCAAGGCTTAGGAATGGAAAAAGCTAAGGCAACACGGACTGTCTTTACCCCTTTAAAGTTTGCAGTTTGCATCTCCACAATTACTTAATTGCATTGCAACATGGATATCTTCAGTTATGATTCCTTGTGTTTTTGGAGCAGAATCCCTTTCTTGCTTCAATTCTGAGCTTCGGTTACATGGTGCCCTCCTTCATTGTATAATTTGGACTACAGAAAGGCAGGACGTAAATAAAGCAATGTTTGCTTTTCCCTGTTACAATAACTGTCAAAGCACTGGGAAAGAATAATCAATGGTAAGGGTTATTTTTTTGAGGTTCTCTACAGAAACAGTTTAGATTCTCAGATACATGATTATCAGATAGAACTTACTCTGCTTAGTAAGCCAAGCATTATCTTTTTCATTGCACGGTTTAATCTGGTACATATGCAGTTTGCATCTGTTTCTTATTATGAGGCAAAATACCCACACTGGTTAAAAATATAGCATGCACCTGTTTTTTCTACTGATTTCAATGTTTTAAACATCATATTTTTTCACTTTCCAGACAATTTAATTTTGAGACCATGAAATGCATCAGTGAAAATGAACTATAGCTTTCCACATCCTGTTTGTGTGTAATGTACACTTTTAGAAATGGTTTAATGTTACCTTAAACTTTACTAGGCCCATTCATGCAAAACAAAATTTACAAGTTTTCTAAGGTTTCAGATTTGTGTTTGTCCATCAAATGTGATGTCAAGGAAAAAAGAACACACAGTGCACAATAACCCACAGCAATACTGGAAAAGGGCTGCGTATTAATCAATTTTCAGATTATTTTCACAGCACTTGAATGCAGGCGCGAGCATCGCTTACCGTGTGAAGTCAGTAAAGATCTTCTGTAAATTGTAGTAGAGGGAGTATTATGGTGCACCAGAAAAACACGTTTCTTTGGGTATAGGGTTGACCGGATATTTATAAATAGTTGCCACCAGTGATAGTACCTGGTTTAGAAAAAGCTGCAGTAAAGTCACATTGGATGTAATCCCTGCTTCTGTGTAAAGAAGAGGATATTGACAGGTCACGAGCACAGTCTACTTACCACTAAATTGCCAAAAGTTATTGGGACACCCTCCAAATCATTGGATTCAGGTGTTCCAATCCCTCCATGGCCACAGGTGTAAAAATCAAGCACCTAGGCATGCAGACTGCTTCTACAAACATTTGTGAAAGAATGGGTCGCTCTCAGGAGTTCAGTGAATGCAAGAGTGGTACCATGATAGAGAGTTTGCCAGCTGTGCAATAAGTCCATCTGTGAAATTTCCCTTGCTACTAAATATTTCCACAGTCAATTGTTAGTGTGTTATAACAAAGTGGGAGCAACTGGGAACAACAGCAACTCAGCCATGAAGTGGTAGGCCACATAAAATGACAGAGTGGGGTCAGCGCATGCTGAAGTGCACAGTGTGGCAGAAGGTCACCAACTGTCTGCAGAGTC